GGGCTCCGCAGGGTCTCGGCCGTGGGCACAGCGCCTCATCCTGCCCTCCGAGCTGGGCGCGTGCACGAGCCCTCCGGCCCTGGACATGGAGCCAGACCATCCGCGGCTCAGCTCTCAGCCCCGTGAACAATCACAGCCAAATCACAAAGGGAACCCAAAACTCAAAAACCAAAAGAAAAGAGACATCCATCGCCGGCCAGCCTTAGCCCCATTCCGGGCAGAGATGCCACTGAGGCTCCGGCCCCGCAGGGAGTCAGGGCATCGCCCCATTGGGCTGCCGGCTGCCGACAGGCGGCAAGATTTGCCCAGCACCGTCTCCGAGCCAAAGAGCGGCACGCGCGGCCCTGGGCTCCGGCCCCCATCTCCCCAACCCCACCTCCAGCCCGCACTCCACTCACCAGCCCTGGGAAGCTCTGCCGCCTGGGCTTTGCCCAGGCCCCGCCTCCGCACACACTGCCCTCCGGGCCCGACACACCGGCTTCTCAGGGCCCTCGACGCCAGCCCCAGCTGCATCTCCACTCCAGCCAAGCCTTGGCACTGCCGGCCTCTGCCAGCCCGCCGCCTGCCAGCCACCCTGGGGCCCCTCTCACACAGCCACTTCCCCCCCTCCCTGGCTAGGGGCAACTTCCTGCTTCACTCACGTCCTGGCTCCTCTCTCAACTCTCCAAACCTCAGCTTCTTGGCTTGGCTTTCAGCACACACCCTAGCGCTCTGGGCCCGCGGCTCAAACTCACGAAGACACTGGCTTCCCCGCTAGAAGCAGCAGCTTGGAGAGAAGCAAGGGTTTCGGCTCTCAAGGTTTTCAAGGGCGCATTTCCATGTTCGCCCGCATGGAAGGCTACTCGGAGCGCTTCCCTGTGGCTCCTGACGCCGGGCACCACACCATCTTTGCCCAGCTGACGCCGGGCACCACACCATCTTTGCCCAGCACCACACCAATGTCTCTTCTCAAGGTCCTGGAACCACACAGTGGAAACCGGCTTTCCAGGGCTGCCGTGGGCTCAATCGAGCTCCTGGCAGAAGCCCTCAATTATTGCAAACAAGTCAACGAAATAGATATCAGTAAGAGGAAAGGGCTGGGTGAACTTTTGAACAACAATTAGGTGTTCTGGTGTATGGACCGAACTTCACAACCTTTGGTTACTTGACACCTTCAAGTTTTATTAAGTTCAGCTGAATGATAGAAATTTATGGAGTCTCTAGATCATTTCCAAATAAGATAAAATATTAGACAGTAGTTATTAGACAGAGGTTTATCTACTTCAGGCTTATTTTGACAGAGAAACCAAAAGATCTTTGGGTCTATTAGTAAGACGTCTTACGTTTTTATCATAAGAGTGTCCTAGGAAGTAGTATGATTCTGGAAATTATAATATATTTATAAATTTGTAAAGCCACAGAATGCTAATGGAAAGGACAGTTTATAATTGCTTCCTTCTTAGATTCTACTGAAAACAAGGTCTGTAAAGGCTGAGACTTCTAAGGAAGAGATGTGATTAAAGCTACTCAAAATTGAGAAGGAAGACATCTTTGTGCGCTAAGGAAAGCAGGATGAATGTTCTCAGGCAAGAAAATTTAAAGAATGGAAATGTCTTTGTTGGTTTTGGTAAGAAAGATAAATGGGTCCTAAAAAAGGAAAGCAGCCCTAGGACAAATTCTTAATGTAAAAAGAAGGTTCTAGAATGTATGAGGGAAAAAAACTCAAAGAAAAGAGTTTTGTGCGTGATCAAATTGGCTACTATGGAAACGAACTGAACGAAGTCAATGAACTTTCATATCGAAGGGAAGCTGTTGCCAAATTAGATTTTGGTTTTTGCCCTCTCTTAAAAGGATCATTTGCTTAAAGTTTTCTTCTTTTCTGGGGAAAGAGATTAGGAAAGGAGATTCATTTGACACATTTCATTTGAAGACACCTATAGTCCAACATCTTTTACTGCTTTTTAGGTTCTGATGGCTGCATTCTCTGTTTACAAGTTTTACTTCCAAATTAAACTCAACAAGCAATCTCATTAGTGCTGTCTGAGACTCCTGCACTAAGGAAATTTTGGCAATCTCTTCTCATGCCTCCTGGAGTCTCTGGACCACTTCTGATGCCATCAGTGGTCCAAGGGCCTCTGATGCAAGACATTGCCCTTCTCAGTCTTGGACTGTAAACCATTGAAACAACAAATGACTGGCCTCCAGCTGGGCTTTCCTGGAAACCAAGGCTCATACAGACTGTGAGCCTATGATCCTCCAACTCCAGCTGCCAGTTATGCTTTGAGCCATGGAAAACCACCTGGCAATCTTGGCATGGCTATCAAGGCCTCCTTAAGTCAGGATGGAGCCAAACCTGGGCTCCTTGTCATATTCCACCTGTGGGAGGGAGTAGCTTCCTCTGTCCTCAGTCTCTTGTCAGATATCAAGTGAGATCACCCCTCTCACAAACCCCTAGGCTACCATGGGAGCCCCTTGAGATGAATTGAGTGAACAGTAGGTGGAGATCGTAGACCATGTGGATGGCACTGCACCACCATATGTGATGGAGCTTAGTTGAATGTTGTTGCTGTCTATCACTTAGCCAGGGCATCCCAGATAAAAGCTGGGATCCCAGCATCACCATGTTTGGGAAAGCTTCAGACAGTTGTCTTAGCACTGGATGCCCTGGCCAACAAATGGTCCATCTTCACCTTTATTATAAACCACTGGGCCATTACCTAACAATTGCCTCCTCTGGAATACAGCATGCTGGGAAACTCCTGGCTTACTGATACCCAAAATATACTTAAAAATTACATGTCTCCACATCTACTAAGACCACGATACAGGGCTTTGCCAGACATTCTCTATTTCCTTTGATGCTATAAATATTACTGGCAGCAACTAAGATTCACGTTTCCCTTCTCAAAATATAGGAAGCTGGCTCTAGAAAGATCCATTCAATAGAACTCTCTGGCCTTGATAGGTCCCAGATAACTGGTTTAATTAATAGACATAATGGTCTCTTCAAACAACTGCTTTTAAAATTCCAATCTGGCAAATAAAGCCCTGGGTGGGTCTCTTTCTTGCCGCAGGCCTTGACTTATCTTTATACATTTTCCATCTTGCCCCCATCCTAAGAGGGCTAGAGGCCAGGTTGAAGGCCATACTCTCCTGTGACCTGTTAACCATAAACAGTCCCATAGACCAAGCAGTTGCTCATGTGAGATGGGACTCATTGGAAAGTAAACTTCCACCAAAAAGCAAAAACAGATCTATCAAGTGTGGCTGCTCCCCAACCGGTGACTGCTGATCTCATTCTGCCTGGCCTGCCTGCTTTCACTGCTTACAATCCAGAAGCCCAAACCCTCCAAGTGAGATGTGGTTTCAATGAAACATGGCAAATGCTGAGACCCACAGAACCCCAGAGGATACTCACGTGGAGAGGACACCCCAGTCACACAGCCCAGATGACACAGTCCCGGCACAACACCTTACCATTGGAGATGATTTGACATCCTGTGCCAGAAACCCCTTCAATCCGAGCATAAAAGCTCCACCCCAGTGACACCCATGGATGGCTCTCCCAAGCTACAAATTGGACCCTGGACAGTCATTGCTTTTCTTCTTTTGGTGTTAGAGATTCTATTGTGTTTCTGAGTCACCATCTGCTTAGTCCTCCACCTGGTTGTCCTCCTGGCTCTCTACCCAAGCATTCACACTACAGTCACATGCCTGTAGGGAATCTGGTAGACGTGCCCAGTTGTGCTATCCTAAAGTTAATATAGATTACTGTTCACCCCAGGGCCATAGACTGCCCACTGCCTTTTCCTACACTCTAGAAATCTCCATTACCATCTCTCCAGAGTCTTCCTAAAATTTTACCAAATAGCCAGAAGCCCCATTTTTCTCTGTTGTCGTAGTTCTGAATTGGTCTGTTTGGCATCCACTCATCCCAGGGCAAATTTATTAATTATGTTTTCTAACTTTCTGTATTCTTGAAGCTGTGACATTTTGGGGCCTTACAAACCCTGGGATACACTGCCCCTCCCAGGATGAGCCAATTCCTAAAGATAGTAAACATCTTACTTGGGGACAGGCCTCTCAGATGCTAGACAACTACCTCTTCATCTTTTTTTGTCTTTATAAAACTTTATTGTCTCAACTGCCTAAAATTAACATCTATAGGGGCCGGCCCGGTGGCGCAGCGGTTAAGTTCGCACGTTCCGCTTCTCGGCGGCCCGGGGTTCGCTGGTTCGGATCCCGGGTGCGGACATGGCACTGCTTGGCAGCCATGCTGTGGTAGGCGTCCCACGTATAAACTAGAGGAAGATGGGCACGGATGTTAGCTCAGAGCCAGGCTTCCTCAGCAAAAAGAGGAGGACTGGCAGTAGTTAGCTGAGGGCTAATCTTCCTCCAAAAAAAAAAAAAAAAAACAAAAAACAAAATAAAGGGGCTGGCCCCGTGGCCAAGTGGTTAAGTCTGTGCGCTCCGCTGCAGGCGGCCCAGTGTTTCGTTGGTTCGAATCCTGGGCACGGACATGGCACTGCTCATCAAACCACGCTGAGGCAGCATCCCACATGCTACAACTAGAAGGACCCACAACGAAGAATATACAACTATGTACTAGAGAG